TAAATCAAACAAAATATGTAACTGTATAACACACGATATCCATATTACCAAACCAATCGACCAAATTGAGGATATGATAGGAACCCAAATTAAGTCTATCAATTTCCAAACTTAGTATTACATCACACATGTATCATGATATTGTCACTATTATAATTCATTGGTTTGGTTATACCTAAAAATAATTATTAAATTTTAAACATATCATAAAAAAAATTTAATAGCCTTTTAATGGCTCGATTAATGTTTTGAAGATATTCCGGTTTTAATACGGGACAGCCGATTTATCATCAGGTGGGCTGCATGCTCGTTTGTCATTACCATATGAAATAAACCTTTTTTTTTCTAAAAAATACTATAAAATAAATAATAATACTAATACTACTCAGCTGATCATCCTCAGGATGAAATGGTTTACTACAGCTTTCGAAGGGGAATTTAAACTCACGATTTTTTAATTTTGTAAAAATATAATTGTCGGTTTTATTTGCATTTTTCTTAATTAGTTTCTAACATTCGATTAAAGATGCAAAAAAATATATATATAAGGGATAATTTATAGAACGCCCGCTCTATAAAAATCCCACTTTTATAAAAACTTTCTTTAAATTTCCCTATAACAACAAAAAATTGATTACGTCTCTATGGGATTCCCCTTTAAAGCGAGAATTTGTTCTAATCACAAAACACACGTGTTGTTGATCGCCGTACCAGTTGTATTGCATTTTTGACGTTGATATGGGGGACGCCCGTCTATCACCAGTCTAGCTACGAAATAATTGTTCAGAGGTAATGCAATTTTTTTATTACATTTACCACCTAGTTAGGACTGCTTCTTCTGCCTAGGAGTCCGTCTGGGACGTTACCACCCTCTTACATATTTCTGCCAACAAAGACCCACTGCGTGAACTGCTTTGTTCATAGGCATAGTAAACAAGTACAATTAAAGGCTGTGAAAATTTGATATTTAAAAAAAAATTACTCAAAAATATACAATACACAGCTTACTGGCTTGAACGCAGAAGTTATTTTTTTTATAAGATAGGGCGACAAACGAGCACACAGTCCACCTGATGGTAAGTGGTTGCTGGAGCACATAGACATCTACATTTATCCTCAATAAAGAATCAAAATGCAGATGCGTCGTCACCCGTGGGCACTAAGATGGAATGCCTCCTTTCCAGTAAAATGGGTCTCCGGTTCTCTACACTCACCATACGAATCACAACAGTATCAAACTGCCATTTTACGCTGGTATTCTGTGAGAGCGTGGTCCTTCCCCGGTCGAGCCGACCCATTCGTGCTACAACTATACTACTAATATAGCTGCAGCATGGCTCTACCACGTATTAAGATTAGTTATTGTTTAAAAAGACAGTTTTCAATAATATCAATGAAAGAATATAAGTGTAATCCATTTTTATTTACAATTGGCTATTTCAATATGTTCAGAGCTGGATTTTTTAAAAATATAATATAACAAATAAATAAAAAATACTAATCATAAGTAATTCAATTTCAATAATAATATTCATATCAACACTGTATAAGAATATATTAAGAACACATGAATTCCAAATAGTATGTCAATATTTTCTTAAGAAATGTATATTATCCAAGAACAACTTTATCTAAAAATATACCGTTTTTATATAAACGTTGACTTTAAATGAGATCTCAGATATTTATGCAGATAAAAAAAATGCAGGTGTGAAAACTGTACAATCATGAAAGTTTAATGTTAAAATAAAAAAAAAGAAATTAAAAACCTTTTAAGGGTGGCTATTAATTAAGAGTTAATAATCAGTAAAAGCACCCATGACGTTCATAACTTATTTGCATCGGTTGGGTATACTCACAATGAAGTTGTCAATATCCTACTGAGGAATATTCTCTCAGGTCCTACTAAGATGCATAACTACTAGCACCTTATTAAGGTATTTTTCAGCCGCCGTATTACCCTGTAACCAAACGACGTCTGTTCTTCCACCGAAACGAATTCCTGCCCATACCATAAATATACCACCTTGGTATCGATGAACTTCTCGAGGGTGTTGTAGCCGGCTTGTACCATCAGGAAATCTCTAGACACGTACTCTGCTCGAATCAGGATAAAAGCCAAATCGAGATTAATCGGTAGGAAGCACCAACGAACATCAATGATGAGGTTTCCAGTTCACATGTTATCAGCCCATGGCTGTCTTCGTCCACGATTTCCTCTTCTTAGAGCTGAAACCCGAAGTGTTCCACAAGCAAAAAGATTGGATTTGTGCAGTTTCCTCCTCACATTTTGGTCATTCATAAGCACCTGGTGTTCAGATTGTATAGCCTATGGATCAATTGCAACGACGTAACATGTTGACTTCTCGCAGCAATTTGCAACAAGTGGTATATTAAAATTTTTGTACAAACGACTTCAATATGAATATAATTTATTGTTGATTTTTTTAAATCCCTCGACCGATTTCAATAAAATTTAAATGGAATCACCTGGGAAGTATACACTTTAAAAAAAAAAGAATTTTCCAAATCAGTTTATGCGTCATCGAGTAATCGGTGAACACACATAAAAAAGAGTCCGACGAATTGAGAACCTCCTCCTTTTCTGAAGTCGTTTGAAAAACGATCTTATCTGGGTGTAGTAATGCGGCTTGGTCCTGGATGTTTCTCCGCCACCTCCCCCGTGGCACGATAGTGTGACCATAGCTACGAAATCACATTTTGTCTGATGTCAGCAGAGTTGAAGTCGCGAGACTGGCATCGCTCTATTCGGACTATGTATACAGTGTGAGATCCATACGCTCAACAATATTTTTTTCTCTACTCAAGTGTGGTCATCACGTATCTATCCTCAACTGAGGTCATATCATTTGCGTTTCGATGCCAGGTATAAGCAGTTCATCGATATTCAGCAGGAAGATAGTTGTTGTTAGAAAACTTGCCATAAATGCTAACTTGCCAGATGCTGGCAAAGGCCTTTAAATTGCAAGTTCACTTTCTCTTTAGCTGTATAAGCTAGTGTTCCATCCGAGCGGAGGAAGTTTAAGGTTTTGCTACAGAATAAATGCTAGAATTTAGTGAAAAACTTAAAAGGCTTTAGTACCATGGACCATATACACACCCTTCAGCAAATTGTACAGAAGTCCGAGGAGTACAATTTGTCACTATGTCTGGCGTATGTGGACTATGAGAAAGCCTTTGATTCCGTCGAAATTTGGGCGGTGCTGCAGTCCCTTCAGCGGTGCCAAGTTGACTGTCGGTATATCAAAGTGCTGAAGTGCTTGTACAGTAGGGCTACGATGGCTATCCGAGTACAGAACCAAAGTACGAAACCTATCCAATTGCAGAGAGGTGTAAGACAGGGTGACGTCATATCCCCGAAACTTTTCACCGCTGCATTAAAAGACTTTTTCAATCTACTGGACTGGAAAGGATACGGTATCAACATCAGTGGCGAGTACATCTCTCGCCTTCAATTTGCTGACGATATAGTCCTTATGGCAGAATCGCTGGAGGATAGATCTTAAGATGAACATGGACAAAACAAAAATCATGTTTAACGTCCATGTCACACCTACGCCGGTAGTTGTTGTTGGGGACAAATAGTCCGACTAGGTAAGTCCAACTTCGACCGAGAGGTCAATCGACGGATTCAATTCGGCTGGGCAGCGTTCGGGAAACTACGACACATATTCTCGTTAGACATACCTCAAAACCTTAAAACGAAATTGTACAACCAGTGCGTGTTGCCAGTGATGACTTACGGATCTGAGACGTGGTCATTCACTGCTGGCTGAATGAGGAAGCTCAAGGTCTCTCAGCGAGCTATGGAGAGGGCTATGCTTGGGGTTTCTCTGCGTGATAAACTTAGAAATGAGGATATCCGCAGTAGAACCAGAGTAACCGACATAGCCCAACGGATTAGTAAGCTGAAGTGGCAGTGGGCCGGCCATATAGCTCGAAGAACCGACAACCGATGGGGAAGAAAGGTTCTCGAGTGGCAGCCTCGTACCAGTAGGCGAAGTGTAGGGCGAACCTCCACTAGATGGAGTGACGACCTGGTAAGATATGCAGGAAGTCGATGGATGCAAGTGGCTCAGGACCGTGCTTTGTGGCATTCCTTGGGGGAGGCCTATGTTCAGCAGTGGACTTATGAAAGGTTGTAATGATGTTGATGATTACTTTGCAAGAGTTTTACTCTGTGGTCTCATAAACTAATTCAAATTACTTGGAATGGATTGCAATTGGTCATACTAGATGTCAGTAACAGACTGCACAATATAAGCAAGTTAAATATTAAAATTTCTTTCCTAAATTGTGCAAGAAAAATATGAAAACTAGCAATATGCATTGCTAATTGTCTCTTAAAATAATTTCTTTCATAAAAGTTATCTTTTGTCAAATAAAAAATATTAATAAATTTTCTAAGTAAGCCGTGGTAGCTCAGGGGCTATGCGCTCGCTGTAAATTTCATAGTACGCAAGCAATCCGGCCCCGCCGATTTTAAGTGCTGATTTACCATGTGCTCGGCGGCGAAGGAAAACATCGTGAGGTTACCTACATGTCTGAGAGATAAGAAAAAATATTTCGAAGACATGTGAAGTTCGCCAACACGCACTGGGGTATCGCGGCAGTCATTTCCTTGCCTTAAAACCCTCTCAGAAATGGTACTGTGCGTAACCACAAACTAAAAAATCAAAGGTTCGAATTCATCTTTCGACATTTTCCTAACACAAGTATTTTAAATGGCACGATTAATGGGAATATTAATTATGTTAACAGCATTGCTACTATTTTTTTATTAAAAAACAACTAACATGACAAAGTAAAATTTAACAGTAACAATAATAATAATAATGAATAGTAACAATAGCCCAATATTTTTTCTTTAAAATACATTTTGCAATTTAAAAATGTCATAGGTTAAATGACATGAATCCTTATTTTTAAGCACTCATAGTCATAGGTATATTTTAATGCAACTTATTTACTTAAAGGAATTAACTATTTTTGTAAATTGCATTATAATCGATCTTAATTATATCGGCAGCTTTTTCACCAATCATCATGGCGGGGGCATTTGTGTTTCCACCTGGGATTCTTGGCATTATGGAAGTGTCTGCTACCCTCAACCCAAAAATCCCATGCACTCGCAGTTTTTCATCCACCACTCCTTTGGGTCCCATTTTGCAAGTTCCAACTGGATGGAGCATTGATCCAACTGTATTTTGCACATAGCAACGCCAGTAATCATCAGACCCCCATTTAAGTTGTTTGCATGCTGTAACATCCAATTTTGCGATTCCTCCGCCATTGTTTTTATAATAGGACGTGTTGGAATATTGTAACATATATTTGAGCCCCTCCAGTGTAGTCTGTACATCTTCTTCATTCCTAAAATAACCCATATTTATTAAAGGATCATCAAATGGATTGCTACTACTTAACACAACTTCACCTCTTGAACGAGGATGTAAAAGAAGAACTGAAGTTACGTCAATTTCCCGATCTTTGTTAGCTTTGCTAATTGAATATGAAAATGGTTCATCGAAATTTGCTAACGTTCGAAGGCCAAATAAAATTATCGGCGATGCAGTTGCTCCAATACGTATATTAAATATTTGAAACTGTGGTCGTTGCAGAACATATGATTGTTTAACACTAAAGTAACCTGATTGTGATGGTACAGGGTAACTGTCCAATTCAGTAGGGACTAGTAGATTCTGTACTATACTTTGTATGCCTTTTTTCCCAGTAAAAACAATCGGCACGTAAAGGTGGTCTTGGAGATTTCTACCCACAGGTAAATCGACAATAGCATGTATCCCAAATTTCAATAACTCTTCTCTCGGTCCAATTCCAGACAACATCAAAAGCTTTGGAGTATCGATAGCTCCAGCCGAAACAATTACTTCTAGATTTGCAAAGACATTTATCTTTTTACCTCCAAGAAATATTTCAACTCCGGAAGCTCGTAGTCTTAAATCATCGATTAAGACTTTAGTCACTCTAGCATATTTTGTGACTTTTAAGTTATACCTATCTCTAACTGGTCTCAAGTATGCTTCTGCCGTACTAGATCTTCTTCCATTAGCAAAAGTATAATGTGGTTGAGCTGCACCAAGTGATTCTGGGCCGTTAAGCTCCAATATCCTCTTTATGCCCATTTCTTCGTAAGATTTTAGTACGATCTCATTTACTTCGTTAAAATAGCTATTAGTTTGTGGCCTAGTTATTGCTACAGGACCATCAGTGGAATGTAAGTAGGCATGATCTGGATTTTCTGTAACGGCAGGGTCTTTGAAACCCTCTAGCTTCTTGAAATAAGGCAACACTGAATCCCACTCCCATCCAGGGGCTACTTGCCCCCATTCATCGTAATCTTTAGGTGTTCCTCTCGCATAAACTTCATAGTTATTCGATGAACATCCGCCGAGCATTTTTCCGCGAGTCATGTAAATTACACCATCCGGGTGAACTGCGCCCACGTTTTTGTCGAGTTGTGCTCGATAATCCCAATCGTACTTCGTGTGAGCGAGTGTCCCAAATAAACTAGGAGCCTGAAACGATAACATTAGCAATTTTAAGAAGATTTTTTAAACAAGTACCATCTCTAATAAATCTAAATAGATTTTTTCTTTTAATTTTTTAAGTAGAGCACTTATCAATAGAGAGGAGGGAATTACTACACTTAAAAGACGGACTTCTTTATTTCAACTCCTACGAGTTATTTCCTAGCGATTATTGTTTATTTACAAATTGAAAAATAAAGTTTCAGTGGAAAAATTGCGACTGAGGATGAGTTATTTTTTATATTGATAAGGAAAAAATAATTTTAAAAACATTTGTAAAATAGTTCTTAGCCTCTATTTCTTGAACCATTTTTTTTTTAATTAAATTACTTTTGCCTTTGTTATGGATATACAAATTTTTCTTATAATATATTCACTTAAAAACCAAAGTTATTTATTTCTTCAACATTTTCGATAAGAAACTCTTAAGTTTAGATGTTTTAAATTACTCTTATGGCTTTCTCCTGCTTTACAAAAACGGTTAAATTAGCGTAACGAACTTGAATACGACTTTGTACAATAGAAATAATAAAAAGAAGCCGCCACAATCGACGGTCCGCGATAATTTTTCAGAATATAATACATGCAAAAAAAAATTACATACCACACTCGCAGGAGGCGGATCACCTCCAGCTTCTAGTAGCAGCACACTGAAATGTGGCACTTCACTCAGCCTCGCGGCTAAAATAGCGCCAGCACTTCCAGCGCCCACTACCACAAAATCAAACCTGTCGCCATCTGAAAACATTTATAAATTCTATGTTAAAATGTCATTTATTTAATGATCTACAATTATTAAAATGTAGGTTCAAAGAGTAAAGTATCACCTCAGTATTTAAAATAATAATCCTACAGTACACTATATGTTCTGTTCTGCGAAGGTTCTTAGACCATGAAAGAGAGTGCTAAGCACAGACCTCCTAGTCGTCGTCGTCCGGCTTTACGTCCTACTACGTACTACTTTAATATTTTAATATCAGACATGTTAGTCCCTTTAAGATATTTTACACCACGGTCGAGCTAGAGCTAAATCAGTATACTACTCATTCTATCATTCGAAAACTAATGATTCATTAAGCATCACAAATGTAATGTAACGAAAACCTAAGCGAACGAATGAAGGAACAACGACGGAACTTTGGCCAACTAGTGTAATAATAGTGATTATATATTGTAATGATTTTAGCAGGCACTCTCTCGAGACACCGAACGCGCCGCATTTATTGACATGTATCTCATCTATTTGCTATTTAATTAAAATCTTACATTTTCATTTTGTATATTATTATATACACGTAACATTTATAATATCCTCACGACGATCATGGTCTTAGTTGGGACTAGCCATCTGTGTGGGAGTCGTACGAGGCGACAGAGGGAAACTGAAACGGGAGACGGGAGGCAGCGTCTTCCTGATAACAATTCAAAATAATAACAAGTGGTTAAAATAAATATATTGAGTTGAACAATTGATATTTTCAAAAGTTATCGTGTTTACAAGCCTTGCGGACTTGATAAATCCACACCATAAGCCACTCAAACCCCCTTTTTTATTTAAAATAGCAATTAATCGATTTCAAAAAAATATTAATAAGTTCAACAATCATTTATCTTTCTGACAATGTGCTTTTTATATCAATTATATGTACAATATGATTGTTTGATTGTTAGATACGATTTCATGCGACAAAACGTTGGAATCTTAATTTTTAGGCCCTAGTAGAACATACCGACGCGCTTAGAGCGCTTACGGCATGCAAAATTTTTGTACAACCAACTTCGATATAAATAATATGAGAACATCATCAACATAGTCGAAGTCAATTAAATACGAAGAATTAAGGACAACTAAAAACTACTGGTCAGATCTTGATCAAATTATATGAGACCACATGAGAAGCACCAGCTTTCAAAAGAATCATCAAAATTGGTTCACCTATAAAAAGTTCTGAGGTAATAACACACAAAAAAGAATTGTCGAATTGAGAACCTCCTTTTTTTAAGTCGGTTAAAAAAACTGCGATTGCCATCTATGGCAAAATCTTCACAATGAGGCAATCTTTGGGAAATGCCTATTTTCAGCTGTGGACTTTTATAGGCTGTTATGATGATGGTGATGACGAACAACACACAGCTCAGATGTAGATTTTCTAGAGATTTGCCTCAGCCTTTTAAGTTCAGCTTTTAAATTATAGCAGCATGTCTCTAACTTTTTTTTTATAGGATAAGGGTGACAAACGAGCACACAGTCCACCTGATGGTAAGTGGTTGCTGCGGCCCATAGACATCTACATCTATCCTCGTTTGCGAATCAAAATGCAGATGCGTTGTCACCCGTGAGAACTAAGATGGAATGCCTCATTTCCAGTAAAAAGGGCCTCCGGCCACCTGCACTCACCAAGCGAAACGCAGAGGTAAACCTCTACTTCTCGCTGGTTTTCTGTGAGGTCATGGTACCACCCCGGTTCGAGCCGGCCCATCCGTGCGACAGCAAAAGTTGCCGCGTGGCTCTACCACTGTTGAAATACCTAATATCATCATCATCGTCATCATCATCATAATTAAAACCCTTCACTGCAGCCTACAGCCGTCACTCCATCTAGTGGGGGGCCGCCCTACACATCGCCTACCGGTTCGTCTACTAAATATATATTTAAGTAATATAGAATTATAGCAGTTTTCGATTTGAAAGTGAATGGATATAAGAGCAGAGGGAGTCCTAAGAAAAGATGGATGGACTATGGCAGGGATGATATGAGGTAAGAAAGGAGTGAATGAGGAGGTGACGGCTAATATCATCTTCAAACTTACCACGTAAGTCGTAAGATTTTGGCCATCCAGTTGGTGAAATTGCTTGAGACAAAGCGAACAGTCGAAGTAACCATTTTACCCAAGGCAAATAACTTGATGTTTGAACGAACCCAAGAAAATTATTTACGAACACATTTAGATTCGGTGTTTGAAACATTTCTTCACTATATATATTACATATATATGTAATATACTAGTGTCTCTTGGCAGATGTAGTATATTATTAATTATACGCTCATACTATTCAAACAAATATGACCGTTATTAACTTTGTTCCTCTGTTTCAATGAAAACTATTTTTTTATATTTAAACACAATACGATAAACACTGCACTGTTTTATTCACAACAGCCCTAATGTCATTTATTTCAAAATATTTTCATGCTAAGTCCATTAATTCAGGTGAAGGACACAACACTAGTAAAATACAAATTAGATCAATACGTTAGCTACTTTTTATTAAAAAAATTTAGAACATAGTCTTCGTTACAATGCATAGAACTACAATCAACATTGACGATTGTAACATCTATCGAGACCCAACACAAACTAATCTATGAATTAAAGACCAGCCATTCCTGCACCAACTAATATGTTACATATCATAGTAGGTTTACCAAGCAATTAGAATACAAGTAGGATATTTTTAATAAATCTCCTGATAATATATCTTCTCAAAACTCATATATTCCCCTATCTGCGTTAACCACGCCATGGCTCCCATAGCCTAACCTTCCACTCTCCACTACGATGACCTAACTTAGTTATTAGATTTACCAGTGATACATAAAAAATAATTTTATGCTTAATTTAAAGGCATTTAAAGCACTTTTTATTTTGGTTATCAGTACTTTATTTTCATTTTAGCGTTTATTTTACACTCCGCCCTATTATAAGTTTTAGAAATTTTAATAGTTCATTCTGATAAAATTTTACACTATATGTATATCTTTATTATTAGCATCATTACTGCCACTGCTGAACATACGAATAGTCCATCCCCACAGGTTGGCACAATTTTGGGTCACTGGCATGCATCCTCTCCTCTACTTGTATGTATTACTACTTTATTTGCCACTAGCTTTTACCCGCGACTTGGCTCGCGCAAAACAAAAACAAAAACATGTAAGTGTCGTGGAACACTCGGTTGCAACGAAGTTTATTTAGTGGTACTCGTATATTATTATTGATAAACGTTTTATATTATTGAGTAACAAATATACAAATAAATGAATTACTAGCGTCTATTAAAATGGAGCGTCATTTAAAATAAAATAATATCTCTGTCATGGGATAAGAAAAAGTGCGAGGGAGATGGATATTACTCCATCTCGTTTCCTTATATCCGCCAAGGCCGTCTACACTACGTCAGAAGGGGTCGTGATGGAAATATCTTACACTTTTTCTACACATCTAAAGAAAACGAAAACCTAAACTACTTTTTAGAAACTAATCTGTTGCGTGAAAGTAAGGCATAATATTATCAACTGACCTTCAAAATAACACTGTATTGAAAAATCCTACATTATACCATCTATCCAGACAATAAAGCCTATATTACCCAGCTTTTATAATAGATAGCGTGATCATTTATGCTAGTGTTTTGACCTCTAAGTAACACTGCAGTGCACTGCATCTAAATACGATTGCAGGTTTTTGTGTGATGCGCATTCAGACAGACTTACAGAACATTTATTATGTGGAAGTAAAAGTATAAATTACTATCTCCCATACCTATTGTTGAGTAAGCACATCAAAGAAGTGAACTTTGCAGGTGACTTCTGAAGTTGTCAGCATAGATTACACAATTCACTATGCGAATTGATTAGATTTCGTTAATTTGTTTAAACGCTATTTTGAATGACTCACAAAAGTTTGAATTTCTGTAAGCTTGATGATAATAAATTACATTACAGAGTAATTTAGAGCATTAAAAAAGTTTGTAAATACCGTTGTTAGAAAAATGATAAATAAATAATAAAATTTATGAACCAAAACTCAACTGCTTTTGTCTCAACGAAAAATTGCCTTTACAAAATGAATATATAATTAGCATTTTTAATTACGAATCACACTGTATGAATACTGTGAATGAAGCATACAATAAATAAATAAATAAATAATTTATTATTTCATGCATAGAATATCTTAATTTCTAGGATACAAACACTGAGATACAACTTAACAATAAATACAATTCAGTGATATAAATATAAATATAAATAACTACCAACTAATAAATAAGCGATAGTGGCATGTCAGGATCGGTCTATTTACGATCGATCCTCTTTGCCTATCCCGTAAATGAAAATATAAAGCTATAGTAGTACTGAATATAAGTCGTTTCTTCATAAAATGTATATTTTTAACAGTTTACAAAGTTATAATGCAGCTAGTTTTAGGTAATTTTCTACAGAGTTTTAACGACATTTTTACAAATCCAAGTTTATTTTATAAGTTGGTCGACTTTATTTCGGGGATGAAGACGTATCTGCTTCTTTATTCTTAATCGAGCCACAGAATCCACTTATTATACGGTGGACATAGTGCTCGTTGGTCACCCTTATTATTTATATTATATCAAAATGGTATTTACGCAAATAATACATATTCAGTGAGTTTCTTTTAGGCCGCCCGTAGGCATAGATGCCGCAATACACTCGAATTACTGAATAAGTTTAATTTGTCCGCAATTTAATTAAGATAATTAATTTAAATTACTGTTGTAATTGTGCGTACTGCATAATTTTTAACCTTTATTATATTCTGTATTAAAATATATATCTATAACCGATTTTATACAGTTGCTCAAATATTTAATATCTCAATACTATTTAAAATATCTCTATATCAGATAAATACTTATTTCTAAATTAGAGTATCCTGTTAGAATCTATGAGATAAACCATGAAACTTTTTTCACTTGGTGGTAAGACTCCTTCACCGCCTAGACATCCGTCCTCTTACCTACTTCTGCCGACAAATATCTATTCTCGCACCGCTGACCTGAAGAGTACAGAGAGTACGATTACAGGCTATTAGCACTGACACTTAATTCGCAGACGCAATTATGCATCTGTAGTCTTATTTGTTTGAAGTTGGATGCTTGCCTATAGTATTATTATATCTATATATATATATATAATTATCCATTTAGTATGGAAGTAAATAAATTTATATATCTATACATATTAGTAGGTAAAATTGAAGTGTCTGTCTGTAATATGGAAATAACTGGCTAGTGTTAACCTCAGGGTCTTATATGCATGATATTAAAACATAAGTAACAATTTTTTTTAAATAAATCCGTCTGTCCGTTCGTCCGGCCTTGTTTTCAAAATGGCTGAACCAATTTTGACGAAACTTTACGAACGGATTGAGAACAATGCCAGGAGGGATTTACGTTATAGCCATAAGATTTTTTTTTAATCTAAAAATTGCTGAATTAATAGTCTTCGATCATCTTTTAGCCGTGTAGTGGCGGTTAAGAATGTCCACTACCCCATATCTTCCCGTGGGTGTCGTAAAAGGCGACAAAAGGAAACAGGCAGGAGATGGGCAGTAGCATCTTCCTGATAACAGCAAAAGTACAATAAAAAAAAATTGCGGTTTGCAACCCGCTCGCCAAGCGAGGCAACCATGGCAAATACCCCCCAATGATTAGAGCAACAAAGAGACGGCCCCCAGTCCCCGGCGGCCCCGCTATTCCTGGCCACGGTGGCGACCATGGTAACGGCGGGGCAGGGGCTGCTAAGAATCTCCGGTGGAGTTTCGGTTGACGACTCGACCTGGCAACATATAACGCACGCACCCTGAGGACTGACGAGAAGGTCGTGGAGCTGGAAGAAGAGATAGACAAGTTACGCTGGCACATTACGCTGGATTATCCGAGGTCCGAAGAGAGGGGGAGGACACGGTAATCCTCGAATCCGGCAACTTGCTCTATCACCGGGAGGGCGCCCATCTGTCCCAAGGAGGTGTCGGATTTATCGTCCACAAGTCTCTCGTTAACTACGTTGTAAAGATCGAGAGTGTGTCGACGAGGGTTGCGTACCTTATACTCAGAATCACCAAACGGTATTCGCAGAAGGTCATACAGGTTTACCAACCTCGGCACACCCCGATGAGGAGGTGGAGGAAAAGTATGAGGATATCTCTAGAGCCATGCATTCCTCTAAAACCCCCTATACGGTGTTAATGGGAGACTTCAATGCAAAACTAGGCACAAGAGAGAACGGTGAGCTGAAAGTAGGGAAATTCGTAATAGGGCAACGGAACCCAAGGGACCAGCAGCTGGCCGACTTCATGGAGAAAGAGGGACTCTTTATGATGAACTCTTTCTTCCAGAAGTGGCCCCACAGGAAGTGGACCTGGTCGAGCCCCGACGGTTCGACAAAAAATGAGATTGACTTCATTACGACGACCAGACGACAACTGTTCAGTGATGTCTCCGTGATCGTCAGGGTGAAAACTGGCAGAGATCACCGAATGGTTAGAGGCACACTGAACCTAAACGTTAAGTTGGAGAGGTCTCGTCTAATGAAGTCAACGCTCCGTCCCCCTCGTGCTCTGTTCCAAGGTCCCGAAACTTTACAGCTCGAGTTACAAAACCGTTTTGAGTGCCTAGAAGACTCCAATGAAGTGGACGATATGAATGACAAGCTCGTGGAAACTGTCCATGCGGTCGGAGCTAAATTCTGCAAGACCCGCCGCAGAAGAACACAAAAACTCTCCGATCACACTCTTAATCTCATGGCTGTTGACGGGAGATGAAGCTACATTCTTCATCAGATTTGACAGCATACAGGTAACTGAACAGACAGTTCTCCGAATGCATGCGGCGGGACTTACACAAATTTAATACAGCTTGTATTGAAGAAGCAATCGAGCGGAACCAAGGCTCCAAAGTCTTTGCCAGAGATCTGTCTGCCAGAAAGAGCCAACTGTCAAAGCTGAAGACCGAGTGTGGCAACATCGTTTCCGGGATACCTGGATTTTGAGTGAGATTAAGAGGTTCTATGGGCAGCTGTACACGTCATCGTTGGAGCCACACGCAAGTGTGAGTAACGATCCAATAGCGAGTCTTATCCGACACTATTCCGAAGATATCCCGGACGTCAGTCTGAGCGAGATTAGAATGGCTCTCCAGCACCTTAA